CAATTATTTGTTATTATTAAAGTTTAACATTATAAAATTAACAAAAATAATATAAAACGCATATCCTGGCAAAATAGCCACATGGCAGCCGAAAATATTCTCTTCCTATTCTCCTGTGTTCCCTAGCTTGTCGTACATTCTTTCCAAAAATCAGGGCTTTTTTAAAACGCCGCAGGATGCAGGACAAATTGTTAAAAATTGGGACTGTCCGGGGAGCCAGTCTCCTTCTGATAACTTGCCCAAGAGAGGAGTAGGGCGTTTACATTAGCCTTTTCATTTCTAAATGAAGTTACATTAACCTCTTCTTCCCAAATGGAGTTACATTAACCTCTTCATTCCCAAATGGAGTTACAGTAACCTTTTCAGCAGCCGAAAACAGTATATTCCCTTCCCATTCTCCCACTGTTCCCTAGCTTGTCATGCATTCTTTCCAAAAATCGGGACTTTTTTAAAATGCTGCAGGACGCAGGACAAATTGTTAAAAATTGGCACTGTCCTGCCAAAAGCAGGACATCTGGTCACCTTACACTACACCCAGCAAATTTTTCTATTTGTAGTAGAGACAGGGTCTCACTCTTGCTCAGACTGGTCCCAAACTCCTTCAATCAAGCGATCCACCTGCCTAGGCTTCTCACAGTGCTAGGATTACAGGTGTCAGCCACTGCGCCTGGCCTTCTTCTGTGATTTGAAGAATTCATTAAAAGATGCTAGCCAACTTGTAAAATATCTTGATTTTCAGTTTGAGGTCAAGTTCCTCCTCTACCAGGTCTTCATAACAGATTGAAGATTGAAATATTGTATTTGTGTCATATCCTAAGATAAAATTACATGATTGTGTCCTGTCCTACTAAAGTATGATTCTTAAGGGGAATCACATTTTTATTTCATTTGAGAACTTTAGTTCTCACCACCGTTCTCCCCTTGGCAGGTAAAGCAGGGGATGGATACGTGAAGCCACAGATCAAACAAGTGGTCCCTGAGTAAGTGTCCAGGGTCCAGCCCTGGCTGTCCTCCCACTGTCATCCTTCCCATTCCTTGACTCCTGAATTCCCATCCCCCACCCCCAGGAAACCTGACTCAGCCCTGGGAGGGAAGGGACCTGGGCTTGGTCACACTTGTTTGGACCCAGGGCCAAGTGGGGCACTCTGTCCTTCTATGCCCCAAGAAAGACATAAAGATGCCCCTGAGGCCCTCCCCAAGTCAGCTGCCTCCTGGCCTCCCTTGCAGCTCAGGCTCTGCCCTACTTCCTCCTGCAGGTTTGTGAATGCATCTGCGGATGCCGGGGCCAACGCCACATACATGGACCAGGCGCCCTCCCCAGCCGTTTGCCCCCAGGCTCACTATAACATGTACCCACCAAAGTAAGTGGTGTTCTCATGGGGGCCTACGGGAGAGGTGCCAGGACCTCATCCCAGGCTGGAGTCCTGGGGGGCTGGTGGGCAAAGGAATCTAGAGCCTCCTTTAGGTCCAAAGCACCCAGCCTGGCCATGGGAGGGAGAGATTAGACCAGACCAGAAGATTTTGGTAGTTTAGGGTAGAGTTGGACAAATGCCAGCTGCTCCCCTTTGTCAAAATGGAGATTTCTCTTGCTCTGTATAAGGACTGAATGGGGTTTTGATGTATCTGGACAGGCAGTGTTAGAGGCCACTGGGGTGGATGTTTTAGTCTGAATCTATATTGCCAGTTGGCAAAGGGCTCTTTCCCAGAGCTCAGATCAGTAGGCCCTAGGCTGAAGGCACAGCAAGCTGTCTTCGGTCATCCCCAGTCGGCTGTGGACTTGGGGTAGTCTCTGACAACCTTTCCCCTTTCTTTTATCTCTATTCTTTCCCTCCCAAGCCCTGACTCAGTCCTGGAGACTGAGGGGGACTTCGATCTGGAAGACACAATGGACGTGGCGCGGCGTGTGGAGGAACTCTTAGGCCGACCAATGGACAGTCAGTGGATCCCTCATGCACAGTCGTGACCCCTTGACCTCTCTTCACCTTCAGCTTCTTCGTCCTCGCTGAGGAATCACTCTTGTGGATGTTCTAATTCCATGAATCGCTTCTCTTTGGAAAAAATACTCATAATGTGAAGTGTTAATACTAGTTGTGACTTTAGTGTTTCTGTGCATGGTGGCACCAGTGAAGGGAGTGTGAGTGTATGTGTGTGTGCATGTGTGTGTGTGTGTGTTTGCACGTTGTGGTGTTTTTGCTCTTGCTGTCCAGAGTTTAGTAGGGGCCACTAACTGAGGCTCTGCTTATTTTTACCTTGTGCAAAAAGGCAGTTGGTTCCATGAACCCTGGAACTTGGCCACATGTCTTAGAGGTGACAGAAGTTTGACATGTGACTGTTCCATTAAGAGAAGGACAAAGGGAGAAGAGGGCCCCCCTCCCTGGTGAGTGTTTGTCACCCTGTCTGCCAACCAAGTGATACATAACAGTGACAGATTTTCTATGCTTTTCTTCTGAAATGTAGATAACTTAACCTTTTCACAGAGAAAGCCAGTTCTCCCTGTGCCCCTGCGTCCCCTGCTCTTGGATAAGGAGGGGAACAGGGCAGGTTACAAAGATTGCTGGGGCAAGGGAAAGGACAGGTTTTCAGATGGGTGGTGGCTTTTTATATATCACTTAACCCATATTGACATTCTCTCTTTGTCCTTCTTTCTCATCCTATCCCCTGCCCTGTGGAATTGCCACTCAGTTCCTCTGTGTGTACACATGTACAGATGTGTTTGGTGAAATAGAGGAAAGAAAAGAAGGTCGCATAACTAAGAACTTAGTGTTGGTGTCCTTTGAATGGTGGCCAAAGAGGTGCCTAGCCCTGACTTGTGGATGCTAAGAGCGTTGCCTTGTTATCCAGGGGAGCTGCCCATCCTTCCTCTGAGCCACAGGCACGATCTGGGGCTTTCTTAAGACTTATCGATAATGGCTTTTTGCAAATGTTGAATGGTGTTTTTGTTTCTAAATTAGATCTTTTTCTGTTTTCCCATTTCCACCCTAATTTGGCATCGAAATTCTCTCTTCCTGCATCCATGCCGAGTTGTTTACACCCAAGTCACTTCATTTCCCTTCACTGTCCACGTGTAATGTCCTGAGGAGCAAGTGACAAGAATGTGGTCTGAACAGGGGCCAACTTGTCCAATAGGAGCTCACTCTGCGGGGGGCTGCTGGGCATCAGGCTTGGGTAATGTGGGGAAATGCGGTCAGCAGGTTTGCCGGGAAATTTGGTGAACTATAAAAACAAAATGAAAAAGCCTCAGCGTAATTGTGTTCTACAGTTTCTTCTATAGCTTTATGCCAGAAGGAAAGAATGGGCTGTCTCAGGTGGGCGGGGCTGGTGAGCAGGCCTAGCTTGTAGGGAAGGCCTACAAGGCCACTCCTGGTCCCCCTCTCCAAAAGAAGGGCATGACCACACCTAGGAGAGGATGGTCCTAAAAACCTTATTTTTATACATGTGAGTAAATAAACAGATATTTTTTTTACAAAAGTAACCTCTGAATTTATCAGTGTTTTGCTGTTAAAGGAAAATATTCCTCTGTAGTAAATTATTTATTGGAAGATGACTTTTTAAAAGCTGCTGTTTGCCTTGGCTTGGTTTCATACACTGATTTATTTTTCTATGCCAGGCAGTAGACTCTCTCTGACTCTGAGAAGCAGGCTGACCCTTCCATGGATACCAGCATTGATGAAGGAGGTTGCTAAGCCCCCTCCCGACCCCTCAGGATTTGATGACAATTCCAACCATGAGGATGGGCACATTAGGGAAGGGTATAACGGAAAGCTTGACTACTTGGGGACCCAGGCTCAAAGAGCGCTCCCTGCTGGTCACTCAGAGATGCTTCACCAGCACCTGCCTCTGAGATCACCCTCTTTGTTCCACCAACCCTGGGCAGGGGAGGGGTTGACCATAATCTCAGGCTAGGAGTGGACCCAACCCAGGGCCTGCTGAGGACTGAGCAGTCTAGCTGCCCTGGCTGCTCTGAGCTCATTTTGCAATTGGCATTGCATTGGGAAAGAAGAGGGCTGAAGAGCGTGGCATTCCTGAGTGTGGCTGAGCTGTCCTCAGTTCTACTGAGACTGGCAAGAGATGGGGAGATTTTCGACTGAATGGTGCGCTCACTCTCTGCATTCTATTTTCTCTCTTCTCTCTGTTCCTGCAAACCACAAGAAGAGGCAATGGCGCGTCTAGACCCCCTCAGCCTCTCACCAACTCCCAGACACACACATGCACATGCACACACATGTGCATCCTCAAAAGTTTCAGCTCGGTGTGTGGTATGTGCAGTTTTGTAGGGGATGGGGGGAGACTAAAAGCAAATATAACTTAAAATGAAAGTATACTTTTTATAATTTTTCTTTTTAAAACTTTGTGAAATTAATTCAGATACATATTTTAGTGTCAAGACAGATTAGTTATGTAGCCACCCAAAAAGTCTTGTGTACAATTTGGGGCAGTCACAAAACTGTATTTTATGTTACAATAAAAGCTTCCTCTGAAGAGACAATATTGAGTCTTTTTTTTTTTTTTTTCAACATGTGCGGAGGGAGAGTGGCTTTGATAGGGAAAAGTTTCAAGTCATCAGCGTGACCCTGACAAAGGGAACTAGTTGGAGGTTGGCTGCCTCTGAGGTGCGTCATTAGCTATAGGAGCATTTCATACTTTCCTGCTGGTGTGATGTTTTGAAAATGAGAATGACAGTCTTCATCTTCTAGCCCCCTAACTCCTGAAACTTGTCCTTAAAATTCAGCACATTCAGAGTCTATACCCTGAGCCAGGCATTGTGTGTGGGACAAAGGCAGCTGACAAGTCAATTATGACAGGATGCTGGTTCATGCTGCAAGAAAGACATCCAGAGTCATTATACAAGAGAACATAGCAGAAGGACACTGAACCACTCCAGCTGGACTCTTTAACTGACAGAAGCTAAGAAGAGGAAAGGCATTCAGCTAGGGGACCAGATCAGTGTGCACCTGAACCTCCTGGTACGATCTTGTCAAAGCACAAGTTACTGGGTCCCACCCCAGAGTTTCTGAGTCAGTAGGTCTGGACTGAAGCCCAGGAATTTGCATGTCTAATAAGTTCCCAGTTGATTCTGGTCCAGGGACCAGCATTTGAGAAGAGCAATAAGCATTGAGGCTAGAAGGCAGACAGGGAGGGACCACATGGGGCCAAACTGCAGATCCGTCCTCAAAGGAACCAACTTTATTTGCAGGAGAAGTTCAAGATTAAGGGTGCTCTCAAAAACAGTGGAGGTATTATGAAAGGAAATTGGAAGGAGAATGAGAGATTCTTGGGAGATCAGAGTTAAACCAGGCCTTCTAGTTTGCCAGGGAGAAGAGGGGAAAGAGAGCTAGGAAAAGCCCTCTTGGTGTCAAACAAAACTCAAAGGCTTGAAACCTCCCTTCAAAGGAGCCTCAATTTGGTTGGATCAGTCTGTGGGACAATTTATGCTCTAGGCTAGGGCATTGTTAAAAAGAATGGAGCGGCTCGGCACCTATAGCTCAACCGGCTAAGGCGCCAGCCACGTACACCTAAGGTGGTGGGTTTGAATCCCCAGCCCGGACCCGCCAAACAACAATGACGGCTGCAACCAAAAAATGGCCGGGCGTTGTGGCGGGCGCCTGTGGTCCCA